TGGGTTGGCTTCCTGGCCTGGGATCAATCACAGGCCATTGAGGTGGTAGCACTGAGACTCAACCCCTAGGCTGCTAGGGAGACCTGGAAAGAGTAGTCTTGTAACAATTTTGTTAAAACAATCAGATATCCATATGCACAAGAATGAAGTTACATCACTTGCATTCACCAAACATACAATTAACTCAAAATGAATCATAGACTTAAATTTAAGAGCTAAAAACTACAAAGCTCTTGGATGAAACCAGGAGTATACCTTGTGATGTGGAGTTAGACACAGATTTTTCTTAGATACAACCCAAAACCCACAAGTGACAAAAGAAAAACAGTGTATAGTAATAGTATTTCATCAATATTAAAAATGTGTTGCAAATGGAACCAACAGGAAAGTGAAAAGACAATCTGCCAAATGAAAGAAACATTTGCAAATTGCATACTTAATAATGGATGTGTATCTGAAACATAAAAGAACTTTTACAGCTCAATAATAAAAACATAAATAATTTTATTTAAAAAAGGGACACAACATCTAATTATGTATTTGTCTAAAGAAGATATACAAATTGCCATTATGCATACAAAGATTCTCAATATCATTAGTTTCAAGGGAAATGCAAATAAAAACCTCAATGAGGCACCAAGGTAGTTTAAAAAAAAAGTCAAGAGTGCCTCCCTAGTGACACAAGGGGTTAAGATGCAACCTATGAAGCTATCCACAGCCACTGCAGCATGAGTTCGATCCCCAGCCAGGGAGCTAACTCACATGGACCTCTCCTGACTTACCTGCTCAGCAATGTATTTCAGTCAGTCTGCTTGTTCTGTTTCCCACTCTGCCTCTGGTGAATCCTCTCACTCCCTGCACCTCTGGCCTGTACCCCAGTTCTTGTATGTATAAATAAATAAATATTTTTTAAAAAAGTCAAGAATGTGGAGAAAGTGGATTCACAATGAAATGATTTTGGAAATGGAAAATGGCACAGCCACTTGGCAAACAGATTGGATGATTCCACAAAAAGTTAAACATAGATGAATCATAAGTCCCCCACAGTTCCACTCCCAGGTATATCCTCAAGGAAAGTAAAAACATACATCTCCTTAGTAACTAGTAAAGCAATGTTTTTAGCAGAAAAATACTAATATCCAAAAAGTGTCTATTGTTCATCAACTGGCATTTGAATGAGCAAAATATGATATAATCATACAATGGCATATTATTCATCCATAAAAGACAATGAGGTAACAGTACTGAGACATGTTACAAATTGGGTTAACCTTGAAAACATAAATACAGGTGATAAAAGTCCATCACAACAGATCACATATTGTGTGATTCCTTCATATGAAATGTCCAGAATAGGAAAATCTATAGGACAGAACACAGTTATATGGGATATAGATATGGGGCTTCTTTTGGAGGATGTTGTAAAATTAGAATGGTGGTGGTGGTACAATGCTGAATAGATTAAAAAACCAACAAATCTGTGTACTTCAAATGATTGATTGTATGGTATTGCAATTTTATATCAGTATATCCTTTAAGGAATTGACTCATGTTTACTGTAGAAAATTTAGAAAATATCAAAAATTAAAAAAGATATATAAACAATCTAATGATGTCCTATACCCCAGAATTAGCAAGTTTTTTTAATTTTCTGTCTTGTGAACTCTAAATATAAAAATCTATTTTGGTAGGGAAGAGATATGAATCACGTACATATAATTCCCACTTTGTTTATTAAATTGAGAAATCTGGTAACCTCTGACTTAACCCCTGCTTATTTATCCATCCTACTATTTTGGATTAAGTGGCTTCTATATACATTTTTTATTTGTAGCTCATTTATTTATAGTTATGACTTACCCATATTATAAACTTTGAGTATATTCTTAGGAAAGAATCTTGGGAACTGTGTTAGTTTTCTATGGCTGCTGTAACAAGCAACCACACAATTGATGGCTTAAAACAACAGAAATTTGGACTTGCAGTTCTGGAGGCCAAAAGTCTGAAATCAAGTGTCAGTAGGGTTGCTTCCTTCTGGAAGTTCTGAGGGAGAATCATTCCACTCATCCCTCTGATCTCTTCCTTCACATCACTTATGTCTGTCTTGTGTCTTTCTGTAAGCTTACATCATTGGATTTAGCCCCCTTTTATCCAGGACTAGTTCAGCTCAAGATTCTAAATTTAATTGTATTTACAAAGACTGTTTTTCCCAAGAAGGTCACATATACAAGTTCCTGATGGACATCCCACCCCAGAAGAAGGGCATACCAAAGGAACAGGGGGTGGCTGTGGGAGTTGTCTACCTGCATACAGATAAAATGTGAGTCCATTGTTTACAGAGAATACTAAGCCAATAACAAACCCAAAATTCAGTCTGCTTTTTTATTATTAGCATGCACTGGCCATTCTAAACATATAATGAAACATTTCTCCTTAGTGGTGTGAATTGCTACTTCTGCTCAACCCCCCTATGTACCCCACTACTTAAAAACAGAATTAGTGTGTGAAATCATATGAATCTAAATCTAATGATATATATATTTAGACTTAATATCCTGTGTGTGGGAATATATATTCTTACTAAATTTATATGGGATAATAAAATAAATCTATTAATTTAATAGGTAGGAAATGTCTTATTTTAATTTTGTTACTGGTGGGATTCAACGTGTTAAATCTTGTACTGTTTGTTTTGTAATCCAGTTTTATAAATTTTTAAAATTTCACTGTCAATATTTCTGTTAGGCTGTTTCTCTTATTGATTTAAAAAAAAACTATATAGTAAAGATATGGGTCTCTTATAACATTCACATTTTTCTTATTGTTTATATTTTTTTCTTTCTTTAGGTAACAGATTATTTTATTTTTAGATAGAATTTTCTTTATACTTCCTTTTATTGCATACCAATGTTTGCTATTTAAAACCTCCCAACTCTTGGGCTATAGTCTTCCATGAGGACAGGAACAAAATCAGATTTTTGCAGAATGTGATAGCTCTATGAAAAGAAAACTGAATTTTTTTTAGTGAAAATGTTAGAAATATTTCATTTCCTATATTGCATAGAAAATATTACCTATAGCCTGTTGTCATGGAATCTGAGGTATGTGTGGATACTGAATACCATCAATTTCTAGTTCCTTATTTTATGACAGCAATCAGGAGCTCAAAGATCTTGGTGATTTGTCTGAAACTGGGACAAAATACATATCTTTATTTTTATTTATTTTTTAAATATTTATTTATGCATACAAGAGCTGGGATGCAGGCCAGTGGTGTGGGGAGTGAGAAGATTCACCAGAGACAGAGTGGGTAGCAGAACAGGCAGATTGACTGAAATACACTGCTGAGGGGAGCAGTGGGCCAGACAGGGGAGGTCTGTTGTGCCATGTGGGTCAGCCCCCTGGATAGCTGGGGCTCGAACTCCTGCTGTGCTGCAGTGGGTGTGGATAGCTTCATAGTGCTGTGACTTAACCCCTTGTGCCACCAGGGAGGGAGGCCCCAAAATGTATATCTTTAAATTCTTAATCCAGTGATCCCATAACACCTGAATCTGTGGCTTTTTCCTGTTTGATGTGTATGCTAAATTCCTGAAATACTTTTATGAAGCATTTAAATAATTGAATTTTCCTTACTATAAAGATCCTATGTGGTATTTATTTAATTTAATTAATTAATTTATCTATTTATTTTTAAATATTTATTTATTTATGTATACAAGAGCTGGGTACAGGCCAGAAGTGTGGGGGGGAGGGATGAGAGGATTCACCAGAGACAGAGCAGGGAACAGAGGGGTCAGATAGACCAGTACAATGCTGAGGGGAGCAGTGGGCGAGTCAGGAGAGGTCTGCCGCGCCATGTGGATTGCTCCCTGGCTGGCCAGGGATTGAACTTGTGCTGCAGAGACAACAGACAGCTGCAGAGGCTGCATTTTAACCCCTTGCGCCACCAGGGAGGCCCTGGTATTTATTTTAAAAATGAAGAAAATAAGGTAAACTCAGAAAGGTGGTTCGATATATTCAGTTTTACCCAGCGCTAGAGACAACTTCTGTTAATATTTTTTTTGTGTGTATGAGTGTTCAGTATTACCCATTTTGCTGTTTAACATGAATGTTTTACAGGGTGGAAATATTTGTATGTTTATCATCTTAATGACTGCATAGTATTCTATCCTATGCATATATTCACATTCATTTAATGATTTCCCAATTGTATACTTAGTTTATCTCTAATTTGTTGCTTTTATGTTGCAATTACAAACACTGTGGATAGCCTTGAATATATTTTCTTTATGTAATTCTTATTAGTACCCTAGGATGATTTCCCAAAAGCGTAATTTCTTTGCGAAGATTGAGGATTTTGATTCACATAAAAGGCTTACTTTTATTTAAAAAATCTATTGTGAAACAAATTTAATATATACAAAGATGCGGAAAAATAAGACTTCTGCTTACCTGCCCCCAAGCTCATTTCTGAACTGTGGATTTAATCTGATCTCCAAGAGGAACACATGCTGGCAATATGCACTTGGCTCTTGAGACAGAACATTTCTCCCTTGATGTGTTTACTTAGCACCTACTAAGTGCTGGCTCCTGTGTTGGCCCTTATACAGCATAATTTCTCCTTTATGTCTTTTGTCTACTTTTAGGATTATTTGGATTTCACCTGGTGGAATAGTTGAGAATTAGATGAAGTAAGAAGCACAGATTTAATTAGGTGGTAGAACCTGGGTTCCAACCAGTGGCCAACTCTTCTCAGTTTGCCCCCTACTATTCAGGTTTTAGCACTGAAAGTCCACCATCCCAGGGCCTTGTTGTCTCACCCAGGCATTTGCCCACTCATAACCCAAGCTCTCCCCCATTTGAATGGTTCTTGGTGCGACATTCTTAGGTCTCCCAGAATCTAGAGAATAGTGAGGAACTGGTTATTCCTGAGGCAGACAGGGCAGCCCTTGGTTTTAGAGGATTTATGTCCATTCAACATTGGATGTTTTATTTTCCAGGTCTCTTCACGTGCTTGTGTGCAACGCAGCGGCTTTTGCTCTGCCCTGGAGCCTCACCAAAGATGGCCTGGAGACCACCTTCCAGGTGAATCACCTGGGGCATTTCTACCTTGTCCAGCTCCTCCAGGATGTGCTCTGCCGCTCAGCCCCATCCCGCGTCGTGGTGGTCTCCTCGGAATCCCATAGGTGGGTCAGAAGTCACTGTTCTTCCCCCTTCCTTGCACAAACCTGTCTTTGTGAAAATAATTAGGTTTCATCCTCATCTGAAAAGTTTGGGTGTACCCAGCCTGACTCACTGAATTTTTTTTTAGGTCTTTTTTTCCTTTTTTGAGATTGTGGGATATTATTGGGGCAGTTTGGCTACAGTCTTGCAGATTGTTTGTACATCTCTACGTCAGGCCCCTCATTGATTTTGCTTTGAGATGGAATAATAATTGATTAAATCTGAATGCCTGACCTTTATTGATTCACCATTCAACAACTTCAACATCCACCAAGAAGAATGTGCAGTTATTCTAGCAGGAGAAACAATGCAATTAAAGACTGCGAGATGAAATCCAATTGTTTTATAATGAGAAATTAGGGAATTCAATGCAGACATTAGCTGTGTAATTGTGGAAAGGGAAGCACTGTAGTTAGAACATATTAGAAATCTGGCCATGCCTCTTTTGGTTAAAATTTCAATTAAAACATCAGATGGCACTTCTTTTCTATTACCATTAGGAGAATATTCAATTGACTAAAAAGACATTGGAAAATTTCATCGTATTTTCAGCATACTTGTTTCTAGAATTGGATAAACAACTATTTGTCTAAAGAGAAGTACTCAGAGAAGACAAAGGGCCTGTGGGGCGAGGCTAGATTCAATCACTGTTTGGGAGATTTTCCTGGTGTGGCTGAGAGCTTTTACTCTTAGCAAAGTAGCTGGAAAAAAAAATAATGTGCAAAGGCCTGTTTTTTTCCCCTTCTTCTCTATCTTAAGTCCTGAAATGTTTTAGTGACCCAGAACGAAGCTTATTTTTTTAATCATGCTTCCATAAAGTGTAACCCCTGGGACTTGGAAGAGAGAGACCAGCCAAGGGTTAGCCTGAACCCTTTATCACTCCCAAACACAGGGGCTTATGGTATAAGTGACACACGGCAGATAGATTTACTTCTACCATTTTAAATTTATGATGGCTGAAATGAAAGGAAAATGCCAGTAATAATCCTCCCCCGTGTTAAAAGACACAGAACATCTAGTAATTAGGTGGTAACAAAATCTGAACATCCTTATCTTTGCAGATCACCCCAGGTTGGTACAAGAAAGTGGAGTGGGGCTGTAAAAGAGCAGGGAGGCTAGTGTGGGGGCAGGCCCAGGAGGGCGAGCTCCGGAAATAAATCCACCAGCCCCAATCGTTTGCCAGACGTGGAGGGCAGGCACCATGGGACATGCTTAAATGAGCTATTGTTTAATGGGAGATGATGTTGAATTGTCAGCTGCTCAGTTCCCTTTGTCAATGCGTACCTCAAAGTCTATTTCATGTGACGTCTTTGTTCTCTCCTTCACTGTGGTATAACTCATGCCTACCTTCGAGAGCTGAATCTTAATTTCATTTAAAAGATAGATTGGAAGGAAGGATCTTGGTCTCCTGGATTTGATCCATTTTATTTGATAGGACAAAGGCTTCCTGAAATGCACTATTGGGCACACTCCTGTTGGTAATGGGCACTAGGTTGCTGCTTTCTTATTGCCCTTTGCCTATAGTAAAGGGTACTTTTAAAAAATGTTAACTTCCCCTGGCTGGTTTGCTGATTACACTTGCACTGCATGCCACAGCACCCAAGGGCCAGTGTGAATTCTAGGTGGCAGAACCCGGAAAGCCTTTGCTTACTGCTCATGAACCCAGAGCCCTAAACTATGCTGTAAAGCGGAAGTGTTGCTATCTAATTACCTCCATAAACCTTGGCGGAATCTCTTGGTTGGAGTCAAGACCCCCTGTTAGGGGAAAAATAAAGTCCTAAGTTTGCAGAAAATATTATACCAGACTGCCCCAAGGCAAAATATTTATTAGCCTCCCCGTGTCTTCACTGTATTTTAGTTACTTATCTGGAGTCTGAGTCAGTGAATTAAGTTTCTGCACATCTAAAATACACCATATTAAAATGAGGACTTGACTTTCTTGCTGTGAAAAATTTCCAGATAACAATTAAAATAGAATGAAGAAGAAGCACTGACTGAAACTCGAAATGGCTTGCAGCTGTGTCGAATGCCAGGTTACTACACACAGAGACTCCTGATGCAAATTCAGTCCTATCCTTTGAACATACCCCCTTTTGTCTGTATAGAATCCAGCCTAATTATTTCAGTTCGGTAACTCATCAAATCCTCAATTAAAAGAAAATGATAAAGGAGCAGTATACATAGAAATATAAGATAGAGGTCCCTCAAACTGCAAATGTGAATGTCCAGAGAACAGATGTTAACATTTTTGTGTACTGGTGGGAGGATAATTCTATCAAGACATTCATGTTTGGCTTTGTCAATTTTTCAACTTGAAAATGGAAGAGGCGGCCTTTGAAGAGTTGTTTTACTGCCTCTTGAGCTGAGAGGTGAACATGGTCGTTTTTCAGGAAACCTGCTATGGCTCAAGGAACCAGAAAGCTCGCCCACCCTTTGCACTTCCTGGAGGACTGTCAATACAAGCTAATCAGACCTTAAAAATGGGTTTGCTGTCCAGGAGAGCATCAGGGCAGGAAATCAGGGGGCCCCGGGTGGGGGAGACCTGATTGCAGAGGGCGGGCCTGATATTTAGCAGCTGTTCTTCTCCACCTTGACACCTCCTTGCATCTGGTTCCATCTAAGGCCTCATCACGGATCTCCCCTCCCTTGTTTCTGGATTAGGGACTGGGAATGAATGGCTTCTCTCTTCATAGGACTTTAATTGACCCAGCGTTCCCCAGTCATGTGATACTTCTGCCTTGTCTTTAAACACCAAAGCAGACAACTCATTCTGAACTTTATAAAGTACCGTGAGCAGATAACATGACTGACCCAAAGGATCTAAGCCAATCAGTAAATTGTGCCTTTCAAGCAAGGATAGAAACCAAGTTTCTGTAAAGGAGTATTGACCGTTGGCTTGGAATTCCTGGCCCGTGATCAAAGTTCAGTGCTGTAGGGTAAGGTAAAAAAGTATCAGGCTTTTCTGCCCTCCCCCCATTAGGACTGATGATGGATCCCTGCAGTCCTGAATGCATGCCTGATGGCGGGCACCTGGAACAGGGTGCGGGCATATGTAGATGGGATTCACCTGGGCTGAGACTGGGCTTAATGAGGGCATCACGGGGGACGCCGAAGGAACTGCAGAGGAAGAGCAGAACAAGGCGAAACAGCAGAGCGAAAGGAGCAGAGAACAAAAGAGGCCACAAGAGAACGTGGGAGAGCCCAGAAAGAGTGAAGACTTGCTGCGGCACCCCTGCCTGCCTTGTACCTGGTAAATCCCAATAAAAGCCTAAAAAGCCACCGAGGGCTCTAGGACTCCTCCTTCACCTGGTCTGCTCGAATCATAAAGATCCTGCTTTGTGCCCTTCCTGCCACTACAAGTGCTCTAATTCTGTCTTCAGTCCCTGTGTCAGGCACTACCTGGGCAACCCATGATGTGCTGTCTACTTTTCAAGAATGCACACGCTAGCATTGGAAGCACGTAAAAAAATGACTTATAATCTAGTGTGGGTCTGCTCTGGTAAGGACAGAGGCGTGATGTACAGACAAAAGGCGAAGATGTCACCACTGGATCTATGACACATCTTGGAGGGCTGGCAGAGTCTCCGAACACTGGGGTGGATGCCCTGGACTGGGTCTTGCAGAGTACATACTTAGTTTCCACGGAAACGTGTAGTTCACTCTGCTTTGCCTGGCTTCTTTCCATCAAATTCCACCTTCGCCCCCACTCCCATCCCTGAAATCATTGTGACAACCAGGAGTGGAAGTGTTAGGGAGAACTTCCTGGAAGAAGTGGCACCTGGGGCCTCCCCTGGTGGCGCAGCGGTTGAGTGCTGGGCTGTGAGGCTGCCCACAGCCTCTGCAGCACTGGTTCACTCCCCAGCCGCTGGCGAGGGTCCCACAAAAAAAAAAAAAAAAAAAAAAAAGTGGCACCTGGATTGGATCAGGCTAAACAAATATGCCAAGAAAGAATTTAAGCAGCAGGTAATGAAAGGAGATCAAAGAGTAAGTGAATGGTGTTACTTTGTCTAAATCCTTGATGCTGTGTTGTACTCAGTGGGTAAAATTTCCTATCTTGGATTATTGGGTTTACCACTCAATAGTCCCTTTTTCTAACAACTCTTGTATAGTACTTTATTGCTATGTTGAAATGAAATTCATAAATAATAGAGCTTCCCTGCATAAATATATTTTAATTCTGTATGCTAGTGTAACTGTAATAGAAGGAAAGAAATGTGAAGCAAAATATCCTGTGTTTCAACGTGTAAATGCTGGGGAAAGACTGCAGGGAAATAATCAGGTGTTCACGTCTTTTATAAATCACCTGACTTGGGCTACTCACAAATGTGGACTGTTACCTGGTATGTGGCAGATTCCAGCTGCACGGAGTCAAGTGTCACCTCCCTCCAAAATCACAAAACCTGAAAGTACATTTTTTCCCCTTATTTTCATGGCTGTTTTACTCTACTCCTGGAAATTCAGCAGTATTAAACTGTGCATATATGTAAAACACAGCTGGGCTCTAGGCTCAGACAACTATATGCAGGTTTTTCTTCTGCAATGGGACAGTCTTCACTAAGCCTAACTCTGTCTGCCTGGTGGATATTTGCTACCCTGCCCACACTGGCTATCTTGACAACAACAAGGTAAAAAGCCCCATAAATGATCAAATTTCCTGTTAAGTTCCACTGCTTCAGAAGTTGTTCAGAAGTCTGTGCTCTTCCTGTGGTTTGGGGACTTGGAAACAGGCAGCCAACAATTAGTTTCAAGGTCTTATACCATATCCAGGATGATGTTTCTGGCCACAGGCTTTGTGGGTAACTTTAGAGCGGCAATGTCTTTAACACTGGAAACTGGATGTCACTTGAGGGAGTCCGTAGAAGAGATATTTAATTCCCATTAAAACATGCATTTCACCTGCCCCAGGATGCTCTTCTTAGTTTCAGCTCAACTGACTGGTTCTTAGGAAGGAACAACCAGATCATTCTGTAATGTGAGTTTTATCCTTTGCTTTTGTTCTCCACAACACTTAGCTAGAGGACTCTCCTTGGGCTTCCTTATTACTCATTGCAAATGCCCAGCGTTAGTTTAATGAAGCAAACTCTGAGGGGTCCTTAACAAAAATGAGACCATCTAGAAAATTCCTTTTGTTATGATCATTTTTTTTTTTTTGGATGTAGACTCTACTTTGTTGTTATTTTTAAAAACGAAAGAAGGGAAGGAAAGAAACAAGCAGCTGGTGTTTAACGACTCCGTCAGACCCAATTATAAAACATCAGCTACTTACTTTGATTTGTGTGTGTCCATGCCAGGGGTACACTTGCAAACACTAGACTCTGCCAGAACTCATTCTGGCTTTGTTTACACTTATCTTTTAAACATATAAGACTATTGATGGCAACTCACCAAGGTTATAACCCCTTTATATTCATTAATTTTTAATCTGGCAAAGAGTATGGGAGGCAGCAAGAATCATCTATATTTACTCAGATGCTCAAAAATGAAAATTCATAGGACTCCAGCGTTGGCTAAAATAACCCAGGAAAGCCCCGTCAAAGGTTAGGAATGTGATATCTTTCTGATTCCGAAAGCAGCAGCTCTTTATTTAAGATGCTTTTCCATTTAATTTAATTATCCTTGAACTTCCTGTTGAAGGTTTTGAAAAATATATGTTTGAGGCAGGGGGAGTTCAGCTGATCAAGACTCCCCATGTGTCAGTTGGGCCTCTGTGGAGCCTGTCCTTGAGTCCCATCAACTTTTGTTGTTAAATCACCATTGTTTATCTTTAAGGGACACTTTGTTTCAATGTTTGCACACTTGAGTTTTCAGTCACCTCTACATGACTCGTTAGATTTCCAATAAAAATAAAAGCCTCTATAAGAAGTTGAAGTCAGAGATTGGCTGCTTCATGTCATATTTCTTTTCTTTAAAGATTTACCGATATTAACGATTCCTCTGGAAAATTGGACGTGAGCCGCCTTTCTCCAACAAAGAACGAGTACTGGGCCATGCTGGCGTACAACCGCTCCAAACTCTGCAACATTCTCTTCTCCAATGAGCTGCACCGCCGCCTGTCGCCTCGTGGGGTCACATGCAACGCCTTGCACCCTGGAAACATGATGTACTCCTCCATCCACCGCAACTGGTGGCCCTACACGCTGCTCTTCACCTTGGCCAGGCCATTCACCAAATCCATGGTAAGTGAACCGCTTCCATCACTGCAGCTGCCACCCCCGGTGACTTCATGGAAAGAAAGGTAAGTGAGCCGCCGACATCCACAAACGCCTCTTGCTGTTGCTCATGTGGGAAGATGTTTGTGGAGAAACTCTGGCAGGCGTGTTGTGTTTTCAGCAGGCTCACCTCTTGCAGTGATGAATCTGGTCTTGGTAATACCTTTCTCGTTGGAAAAGGATGCTTGTATTTCAGTCGACTTTAAGTCACATCCTAAAAGTGACTTGGAGTGCTGGATAGAAGATGCGTTTTGTCAATATTGAGTTAAATACGACAGAAAGTGTTGATGGAAATGATTTGTACCCTCTTGACATGATTGTTTTATTATTATTATTTAGTGGGATGGTGCTTGAGAACTGTGTTTTGTGTTAGTTGGTGAAAAACGTGGATTTGCGGCTGTGGAATTATCGGTAGATATGATTTCTTTGTTTCCACTCAGAATCTGTTTTGATGATCTGAATTCATTTAATGGATGTAAGCTGCTCCTGGAGAGTATTTGTTGGTTAGAAGTGCATTTTATTCTTTACTTCCCCAAAGACAAATATTTTTGAGTGAATATGGCTAGATTGGGAAATTGTTCACACAGGTAAGTAAGAAGTTTTCAATCTTTGATGGTCATCCATAGAACAACCATATCTAGAAACTTCTTCCATGAAAGTGTTTTAGTAGCAAGTAGTTGGAATGAATGCACATTTTACACAATATATCTGACATAGTTTCCTTGGCGTGGTTTATCTAATGTCCATACCTTTGAAAACATTTTCCTATTAGTGGAAACTAGTATTCCAGGGAAGCAACTTAGCATCCTTAGACATCAACCTTTTCACTAAGACTTCTTCTCCTCTAGGGATATCACAGGTGAAAGCACTCTCCTCCAGTTTACTGGACAAAGGGTTGGGTAACCTCTGACTGCTGCTACCTTCGGCAGCTATTCCCATGTTCCGTTCTTAACCTGATGTTTGTGGATGACTTTAAAACTATGTCAAAAATCTTTTGAACTGCTTAGGTGTAAGTAAGTCAGTGCATTTTTTATTCAAATCACCAGCTGCCAAGTAAATGGTGCATACTTGTGCCAAGTAACCAGACCAGATTCAAGAATGGAATAGTTCATATCAGGGGAAGAGAGATAAAGGACCTCTCAGAATAGTTTTGGGGGCTAGCTATAGGCAAGACTCAAGACAAATGGAAAACTTGCTTCAGTTGGAGACTGAAGCAGAATTGTTTCCATACAACCAAGGAAGTCCAGAGAGGTAGAAGGAGACTGCTTAGTGAGCACCACACCTGAAGTTGTCCTAGCCATACCAGATGCTGGACCCTTATGGCTCCTTCCTCCACATTTGCAGCCAGTGCACGTAGCCTCAGCTTCTCCTTCCCCAGGTCTCCATGCAGGAGAGGTCAGACAGAGAGGTCAGGCAGCACCTATACGTGAATACACTTCAATGACTGCAGCAAGGTGAGGCTTGAACTGAGAGAATGCCTCAGACCACAGATAGAACAAGGACTGGTCTTTATGACCCCGGATAAAGGGGGTGGGAGAATGATCAGTAACCCTTGAGAAGCCTTGAAGAAAAAGTGGAAATGCTACTAAAAAAGTTTTTGGTTAAGTTATTTAGGGAGCAGGGACATGTCCCTAGAAAGGGTGGGACAGGGAAGACCTTCCCTGGATGCAAGAAAGGAATTCTGCAAGACTTCAGGAGGCGGAGACAATGAGAAAGCCTGGGGCACTGCACCAGGGAGCTCTTAACCTCAAGATCCTAATGGTGAAGCCCTGACTCTTACCTTTGAGAACTGGGATAACTCGGGCAATGCACTTAAATTCTCCAAGGCTATTTCCTCACAGCCAAAATGGCGGTGCAGGTTGGTGCAAGGATCAACATTAGTGGAGATAATTGATATAGAATTCCTGTGATGATTTCACTCTGGCTGTATGGTATGTAGCGCTGGAAGGAAACATTTAGCTATCGAGCCCTTAGAAAGTAGTTATTGCAACTGAGGAAGTGAATTTTTAATTTAATTTGATTCCAGTTAAATTTAAACTCAGATAGCTGTACATACCTAATGGCTGCCATATTGGAAAGCAGTTGTGGAATGTAGCCAACGTGATGTCTATTGTGTAGTGTTTCTGACCATGATGGTTGTTGGTCTTGTTTTATTAGTTTTGGAGAAGATTATTCTCTAAAATGTCATTGCTGCTCATGGATACAAGTGCCGCAGGACCAAAGGAATCTAAAAATTGGGAGCCTGGAGCTTGTGGGGGGGGGCGGGGAGGGGGCTCTGTCCCTAAATCCAAAGGCTCAGGGAGAGGGTTACTGGCAAAGTAGGAAGGGTGTCCATGTGGAATGAGCCTCGTTTAGTGGTCTCCATCCTACACATCCCCTGGGGAAGTCATTGTGAAGTGGACTGTCCATGTCCCTATCCCCAGATAAGTAGAAAACAGTATCTTTGACATGGCATAAAAAGTACTTTTGCAGATTAGGAAGACTAGGAAATATGTAACTAAGTTAAATTGTCAGGAAAACCCCCTCTAATAATATCTTTTATATTTATGTATTTGGTGATATTTCTCAGCCATCAGAGTTCCTTATGACTATAGAGTTCCCATAGAATTAGAATGGGAACTATGGATTTATTTGTTAAACTCAGAGCCAGTCACCTCTCTTTAATAAATATTAAAGTCTCTGTGCATGCAGAGAAGCGGAATAAGCATGTATGTTGACCTGGGGTCAGCTTCTTTTTCTGGTAGATCAGACTGGGCTTACTGGAAGAGTCTACTTCCAATTCTGTACTTTTGTACATTACCTGGCATTGCTTCCATTTAGTGAGTTTTGGTTTCTTGGACAAAGGGTACACACCTTCCATTTTAGTGCAAACAGAATTTTGAACATAAGCCATGTAGTTGAATCTCTAACCCCAACACATGTAAGAGCTGGGTTCCTAAGCGTTCGTGTAGAAGCCTAGCAGAGTCATAGTGTCCTCATCACCAGTGGCTTGATGGGTAGTGTTCCATTTGTGCTTCTTCCCCATTTCTGCATTTCACTTCAGAGTACACAGTAGATGTAACCTACTGTGTTACATCTACTGGTTTTCTTTTGACACGAGTGTTGCTGGAATATACACGAGTGTTGCACAAGGTCAAGGAAACAAACAGCCTTGCTCTTGGAAGCCCTGCCTTTGCTTCTGCACTGCAGCCTACTCCCTTACGTATTAAACAGCAGTATTCTAATATCAACGTCCCTTTTTTATTTGCTGTGACTTGCTGTGACTATGGTGATTTTAGTTACAGTAATTAGGTCACCCTTCATGGAGTCAGGCTATTTTAAGTGCCTCTTTAAGGAATATTGTTGCAGATCAGTAATTTTACAATTGGATGTTCTTGTGCAACTTTATTAAATGTAATCTGTCTTTTAAATGTTGCCCTTTTACAGTTATACATTTCTAATTGTTGCTGTAAATGCATTATCACTTTGAAATTAATTAATTTTTCCATTTTGGCTGCCTGCAGTATAATAATCACTAATGAGAAACTCATAGGGATTAATTCTCAACACAGTGACCCCTACTGGCCGATCCATGTCTCTGCCACCTCTTCCTGGAGGTCCAGAGAAAAGGATAGATTTATCTGTGGTCTCGTGGGAGGAGCGTGGCCCCCACACCCACATTTAGAATAAAAAGAAGTAGTTAAAATGAGAACATGATTATTTTTAATGTCCTTTTAAAAAGGACGCAGACATCAACTAGCTGCTTTTGAAATGCGTTAAAGTAACTAGAGTGTGTCGAGGACTTTCTAAGATGAGGTTATATCTACTGTGTGTATGCTTATTTATTTTCTTGTCCTTATAGCTTTCTTCTTTTATGTAGTTAGTTTATTCTCAAATTATATTTTGCATGTTTCACATTAATGAATGTTACATGTTAGTATAAATAGTATGTTCATATGTACATATTCCTTTATGAGGCTTGATTCACAAAGCCAGGCATATTGTGTTATTTAGTGATAGAAAAGGGTTTTGGGCTATTTACAGTTGGTTGTTGCCTATTGTGATGCCTTTTAGATTCCTGCCGTACTCCACAGTAAGATACAACCTGACAGTTCAGGCCAAACACCTTGATGATCTGTATGCATCAGCATATGTGTCTTCATTATTCCTCACAACAATTTTATAATATTAGAATTATTATCCTTGTTTTGCAGTTTAAAAGCACTGGGTTGTTATCCAACTTGCCCCAGAACATGACATCATCCTGAGGACCCTTGACCCTTCACCAGCTAGTCCCAAGTCCATTTGTTTTATCAGATGCACCACAGCAGCTCTGCCATGTATGTCTAGTTGTTTGGTTATATTTCCTTTAGAACATGTTTGAAAGTATCTTCATGAAAATAACCCCCCTTGACACACACACACATACACACACATACACACATATACTCACACTCTTTTTCCCCTCACAAGCTTTCAATTCTGGTAAACAACATCTTAGCTACAGTTCCTAGGTCCCAGCCAGCCCTTTGCGGGTCAGTGTGTAAATCTGAAGCTGAGCACCATCACGTGCCTCTTTAGGGTGTTTTGTGCAACCAAATATTTGTGTTGGCAGGTAACAGTAGAAAGAATATCATGTGTTAGGGTAGCAAGAGCTTCGCAGATGTTTTAGGGAACTGCATTTTCAGATCATTCCACATTACCAAATGGCTTGAATTTGTAGGACTTCTGAAACGATTGGGTTACGTTTCCTGTGGTCTTGCAAAGCCCGTCATTGTGCTGAGTCTTAACAGATGTGCAGCTACCCTGCTAATGGATGGGCCTGCAACGCCGGTTCTGTTGCAGAGTTATAAATTATAACTAGAAAAAGCACAAGATGTCATTCTTCTAACCTTCGAGAAAGCCAAGCTGGGTAATTCTGCCCTTGAATAACCCGCTGCAGGGTGATTTATCGTTGTAAAATTTAAAACATAATGAAGGAGATAATA